AGTCTGGAAACCTCCACAGCTGCCTGAGATTCAGTCCTCTGAGGCCTGTTCCATGTTTGCTGCAGCCTGCACGCGTTCCTCTCCCAGCCCAGCGCCATATACCTTTCTGATCAGCCATCCAGGTTATATTGGGCTGGAAATTTGTTTCACTCTGTCTTTTTGTGGGTCGTGCTGCTTTAGAATTCATCTAGAGCCATTTTTTATAGGTATTTGGAGGGGTTTGGGGGAAAGCTCAAGCAAGTCACTGCTTTCACTCTGCCATCTTGGCTCCGCCCCCCCATTCTATTTTTTTTTGCTGTTGTTTGCCTGAGATCATAATTACTACCTTTGCCTTTTCCACATCAACTGAGGCATAATAAATTCTTCTCCAGCCCTTTATTTTAAATCTTTCTGTTTCAAGTGTTTCTGGGAAACAGCATATTTTTGGATTCTGGTCTCTAATCTATCCTTCTGTTCTCTTCTGTTTTATGGGTGAGGTTATCCCATTCACACGCACAGTTATTATTGCTAATTGTGTATTTACCCTTTCATCCTATTCTCTTATACTTTTCTGTCTCTTTGTTTCTTGCCCCCTCTTAAAAAAGAGTTTGTTTTGTTTTTGATGAATCCTTACCTTAACTTATTTCCCCTCTTTCCCTCCTATTTCTTACTGGAGGAAAATGTGTTTCTGTATCCAGCTGTGTATTTGTGTATATTTCTCTCATTTGACCAGTTCAGAGGAGAGTAAGGTTCAAGTGTCACCCAATCCCTTACTTCTCCTTTTTATAGAGACTTACTTGCAAACCCTATTTATATGAGATAATTTCTCCCATTCTTCCTTTCCTTCCCATCCTCTCAGCTCACTCCTGTTTCTCATACTTTCCATTCTATTTTTGAAGGTTCATCAAAACACATCAGAATTAGTACCAAGCCCTCTATCCAATTAGACTTCTCGAGACAATATGGTGATGGTAGAATTCTGAAGAGGTACATGTTATTATCCCTGTATATAAGTATGTAAACAGATTGACCTTGTTAATCCCTTATTATTTTTTGCACATATTTACCTTTTTCTGTTTCTCTTGACTCCTGTTAAATTTTCTACTCAGCTCTGGTCTTTTTGTCAGGAATGCTTGAAAGTCCTCTATTCCATTAAAGGTCTATTTTCCCCCCGTAGGATTATACTTAGTTTTCCTGGATAAATAATTCTTGGTTGTAAGCCCAGATTATATGCCTTTTGGAATATCATTTTGCAAGCTCTCCACTCCTTTATAATTGTTGTTGTTTTGTCATTTCAGTCATGTCCAACTCTTAATGACCCATTTGGGGTTTCTTCGGCAGAGATAATAGAATGTTTTGCCATTTCTTTCTCCAGCTCATTTTACAGATGAGGAACTGAGGCAAACTGGGTAATTTGCCCAAGGTCACATAGTAAGTGTCTGAGGCCAGATTTGAGCTCAAGAAGATGTGTGTTGGTGACTTCAGGCCTGTCACTATATCCACTGTGCTACTTTGCAGCCCCCTCCTTTATAATAGTAGTTGCTAAATTTTATGTGATCCTGGCTGTGGCTCCTCAATACTTGAATTCTTCCTTTCTCGCTGCTCACAGCATTTTTTTTTCTTTGATCTGGAAGCTCTGGATTTTGAGTATAGTGTTCCTGAAGGGTGTTCATTTTGAGGTTTCTTTTAGGAAGTTAGAGGTAGATTCTTTCAGTTTCTACTTTGCTGTCTGGTTTGAAGAGATCTGGATCATTTTCTTTAATGATTGTTTGAAATATACTTAGGTTCTTTTTTTGGTCATGAGTTTCACGTGTCCAATGATTCTTAAGTTATCTCTGCTAGATTCTTAAATTATCTCTGTTTTTCAGTTCTGTTGTTCTTACTATGGCAAACCTCACACTTCTATTTTTTTTTCACGTTTTTGACTTTCTATTAATATTTTCTTGATGTGTCTTACAGAGTCATTAGCTTCTGTTTGGTCAATTATTCTAATTTTCAGGAAATTATTTTCTTGGGTAATGTTTTGTACCTCTTATTCCAAGTTATTCTCTTTTCATATCTTTCTTCCATGCTCTCATTTCTTTTCCCATTTTTTCTTCTGTAGCTCTCATTTGTTTTTTAAGATCATTTTTTGACTCTCTTTTAACCTTTTCCTCTAATTCTTCCAGGAATTCTGGTTGGCCTTGTATCCAAGTTGCTTTGCTTGTGGATGTTTTTGTTTCATTCTCTTGTGTGTGCCTTGAGCTTCTCTGTCACCATAATATTTCTTTATAGTGGAATTCTTTTTCATTTGCTCATTATGCAAGCCTACCTCTTTGGACTGGGTTCTGAGCACTTCTAATTCTATTTTCTTGTTCTGCTACTTTTACTACTCAGGCTGGAGACCCACAAGCTTTCAGTGCTCTCAAAATGATGTGATTTTAGACTACACCTGCTTACCATGCCCTGGTATGAGCTCTGTAAGTTCCTGATCTAGGTTTGGGTCTTTTGGCTTGTCTCTGTTTGGGAATTTGTGCTCCCAAAATGCTGCTGGACTCTGCCACTGTTAGCCCTCTGGGAAGGTAAGTTCAGAGGAATTGAATTCTGGGCTTTCTTTTGGTCTGGAAACTTGCCGTGGTTACTCCACTTTAAGCTTCATTCAGCCAGTCTGGAGGTTATGACTGAGTCTTTTGTCCTACTTCTGGGATTAGAACCGCACAACTATTCTTTGCTTCCAAACTTGTTCCCTGCTCAGTACATAGTTATGGTCCACTTAGCAACTGTACCTCTTTGCCATCCCTAGGTATAGATCTCTAATTAGTTAGGACGTGATTGTATGTCACCTTTTCTTACCCTAGTGCCCAGTCGTGGCTCTCTTTGAATCCCTGAATGCTGGAATGCTCTACAAGCATGCGCTCCTAGCGTGTGATTTCTCCAGTGTCTGCAGATCTGTGTCTGGAAGAATTGACTCATCATGGCTTTTTCTTGGATTTCCAATCAGAATTTGGTGTGGTCCATTTTTTAGATCTCTGTAGAGGGTATTTGGTGCGAAACCTAGGTTTTGCTTCTTCCTGCTTTTCTGCCACCTTGGTTCTGCTCATGGGAAATCCCTTTTGCATTTACCTGATATCACAGGGGAGTATGGCAGATTAGAAGTCTTAGCCTAAGCAGGAAAAGGAAGTGGAAACAAAAACAAGTATGTAAAACCTTAGCATTAGATAGAAATAGAATTTAACAGGAATAAATACAGTCTTGAATTTAGGTTCAAAAATCAACTTTACAAGTACAGAATTTAGAAGAAACCTGGCTTGAAAATAGTTCACATGAAAAAGACTTAGATATCTTAGATAATTGTAGAATCAGCATGAACCTGGTATAACATGTAATAGCTACCAAAAAAACTGACTAGTTTTGGATCACATTAATACCAGAGAGTTTTCAGGTTATGGGACATAACAGTTCTGCTGTACTATATATTGTTCAATGCCTGGAAATAGCAAGCACTTAATAAATGCTTTTTTATTCATAAGTGCTTTTTTTTTTATTCAGACCACATTAGGAATATTCATTTCTGGGTACTATTTTTTAAGGATGTTAAGCTATAGAATATGAACCAGAAGGTAATCACATTTATTATGAAACCAAACCATGTATAGTTTTGGCAGGAGTATTATGAGGCTTAAATAAAATAATGGATGGGTAAAGTACTTTGCAATCCTTAAAATGCTGTAAAAACATCAGTTATCATCATCATCATCATCATCATCATCAGCTTAAGTCATGCCTCCAGTCTAGTGACAGCTACATTCTCTGTGACTTCTACTGCACTCAAGCTGAACTCAGGCAATGTTTATGAAGCAGTACAGGGATGTGCTGGTAAATGTTTAACAATCACACCCTCTAGGGGAAAGAAAAAATTATATGTACACACACTTTTAAGCTTAATCAGCATGATTAACATTTTCCCCATCACCTTCTTAAAGTTAGAAAATCAAATAAAACTGTAAATCATCCCTGATTAATAGTGATCACTGATTTTTGAAGTGTAAAAGCTCACACTGAGAATTTAACTATGGTCTCACTCCTGTGGAAGTGGTTCCAGCACACCCATGGATTTTGGTGAAGAAAGTGAAGAGGGTTTCCTGAAAGAAAAGAATTGGTGTGGGCTGGGAGTGGGGTTGCATAGTGTGTGACTAGATACTTGAAGGGCTGTTGTGTGGAAAACTAATCAGATTTACTTCATTCCCTCAGAGAACAGAATTAATTGATGGAAATTACAGACAAGCACATTTTAGCCAGTTTAATTAAGAACTTTCTAACAAGGACTATCTAGCCATGGAATGAGCTGGCTTGTGAGATAGGAACTTCCTTGGCATTCTAGATGCTGGATATGTGTGAAATCTGTTCCACAGTCACTTTATTTTCTTCCAGAGAAAGACTGTTGTTCAACATCATCCATTGACTTTTAACTCTTAGCAAAGGTTACTTAGTCTCTCCCACATAGAAGGCTGCATACTTTAAAAGAATAAATGGTCTCATTTATATAAAAATATTAACAAAGAACTAGAGACCATAGGGAAAGGATGAGGTAGAACAGTTTTTAATACAGGAGTTCACTTTTTCACTGTGTTAGGGGTTTTAATAAGAGATTGGAGGAATGAAATATATCATGAGATAAATTCAGAATTCTTGGGGCTTTGTGGGATCTGCTCAGATGACATCATAAGTAAATTGTACATGTACTAGAGGAATTTCAAGTTGATGGTACACTGTTTCAGACAACCAAGTTTTGAAGTTTTTAGCCAGGTTCCATTTACTGTTTGATTTGACTCTCCTTGGCAGCTGCTGCTATCCTATGTAATATCACCACCACTTATGAATATTTGACTCTCAGGCATTTTGATACTTACTAATTCAATTGAATGGAATTAATCTGCTGACATACAGTATAAATCAGGCTTTTATTACCAATAGTCTAATCTCTTTTTTCCCCCCTATTATCCCTGTTATACTTTCTGCCTCTTAAAAAAAATGACTATTAGGTTCTTACATTGCTGATCAATGCAGCCTATAAACCAAGCCGTGTTCTTCGGGAGCTTCAGCTAGATGAAGATTCTGTGTGGCATGGACATGGGGAAACTCTAAAAGCCAAGTATGTTAGCTCCTTTGTCGTTCCCCCCCCCTTTTTTTTTGGTAGTTGAATGCATATTGGTTGTTGCAGGAAACTCCAGGATTATCTAGAATGTCGTTCTGAAATCTGGAGGACCAAAGATATATACCTGGAAATACTATTTAAACCATTAAACTGAATTGCAAACTATTAACTAAATGAAAGAATTCTACAAATAGCTAGTAATAAGAGATATGCAAGTCAAAAGAAAATTAAAGTTTTATCTCACTCTAAACAAATTAGCAAAGATAGAAATAGTCTTGGAGAGGCTGAAGAAACATAGGCACAGTAATACACTGCTGGAGCAACTATGAATTCGTCCAACCAATTTGAAAAGCAGTTTGGAATTTTGCTAAAGAAAGGAATAAAATGTTCATGCCCGGTGTCTCAGAGATTCCATTGCTAGGGCATATACCACGAGAACAGAATAAAGGGTCTCATTTATATAAAAATGTCAATAGCACCTTTCCTGGAAACAAAGAACTAGAGACCAAAGTAAATGTCAATCACTTGAGGACTATCTAAATTTATTGTGGTACATAAATGTAATAGAATAATATTACTGAACTGTAATAAGTGACATTAATTTTTTAAACTATAAGCAAACTTGATTTTTAGAAGCAGTTTCATCTTGAAGAACTTGAGGACTGGAAGGCAAACGTTTGCTTGTTTCCATTTTTTAGCAAGAAATTTTGCTTCTTTATGCGTTATTTTACTAGTATAATATATATATATATATAAGAGCAATCTTTTTCAAACTGAATGTCATGGAAGAAAATTCCTCACTTATAAAGTATGTAAAACATGAAGCATATTTTAAGAAACAGGCTGATTGGTGTGCACAGTAAGGTTTCCTCTGTTTGATTTGAACTAGTGAAATAACTTTGACATTTTAATTCCTCCAATGACAGATACAAAGGAAAAAGTTATCGTGCTACCGTTGAGATAGTGAGAACAGCTGACCGGGTGACCGATTTCTGCCGGAAAACCTGTATAAAATTGGAATGCTGTCCTAATCTCTTTGGTCCTCAGATGGTTCTGGACAAATGTTCTGAGAACTGCTCTGTACTGACAAAGACCAAATACAGTAAGTGATCTTTTAAATATTGGTAACTAGTGACTGGGAACCAGAGTACTTGGTCTATGAAACAGTGACATTTAAAAACATTTATGTAGCATCTAATACAATATGTAATTGTTGAACTCCACACTAAATTGCTTTTGCCTCTGGAGTGAAAAGCATCCCCCTGTTCTACATTCTGTCTCTTTTCATGCTCATCACATTTTTTAAATTAAAGAAAAGGTTTAAGTAAATAAACAGATTATAAGGCAAGATAGTTTTGTCAAGGCCCTGTTTTTTTTTTATCTCTGATTCATGATGCTTAAAAGCAATATGACAGAACCAATGCATCTTGGCCGAATTAATATAAAAAAAAAAAAGACTTCATCTTAGGCTAAGGAATTGTCTGTTAGACACTTTTAATTCATAAAATTAGCTTTCTGAATTCTTTGTAAGGTCAAGTGATCTCTTAATTCATTTCAATAAAATATATTTAAATGCCTAGCAAAATGTTGTGCTAGGATCTGGAGATACAAAAAGAAGAAGTGGCCCAATTTCTGCTCATGATGAGCTTATGGACTGCTGGGCAGATAAGGCATGTGTAGGCAAGGCAAAATATCTCATATATGGTTACACTTATATTGTCTAGCCCTTAGGGTACATGAGTATACATCTTAAAAACCTTGGGAACCACTCAAATTGATCTTTATTTCTTTTCCATAATGTATTTCTAGTAAATAGCATTGTCAAAATTATTGTGGACTTTAGTGGGAGAATCTCTTTTTTAACAGTAATTTGGGTGAAATTAACTTAAATCAGAAGTTAGGAATACTCAGTTTTATTTTTTCCCTTACCATAAGGGCATTCTTGATACATATTCTTTACAACCAAGAGTTAAGGTAGTCAATATTTTAAATAAGTGATTTATTTTGATAATTTTTTCAGCAGATTGTCATTTTTATTATGAAGGCTAATTAAAGCAGACAGTGGTGAAACCACTAGGTGCACCATCTCAAGGTTAATCACTGGTATTTGGATCTATCTTTTTTTTTTTTAAGGCATTTGGGGTTAAGTGACTTGCCCAGGGTCACACAGCTAGTAAGTGTCAAGTGTTTGGTCTGAGGCCAGATTTGAACTCAGGTACCTCTGACTTCAGGGCTGGTGCCCTATCCACTGTGCCACCTAACTGCCCCAATCACTGGTATTTGGGAGATATGTTTGATGTGCTTAAATAGAAACCTATTGTCATTATGTTAGAATGAATCAATAAATGAATTAGAAGTATTTATTAAGTACTTAATATGTGCCATTCCCTGGGATACAAATGCAAAGGCCTCAGGGAACTTATCTCCTAGTAGGAGGAGATCATGTGGGAGAGGTGGGCAAGGGGAGGGTGTTTTGGTTTGGGAGGACACAGGGATGATGAGGGGAGTCAGTTGACAATAGTATCATTGATTTTATTAGTGTACCCAGAGCTAGAGGAATAAAAGGTTATAGAGGGTTTACTTCAGTGACTGGGGATGGCAAAGAGGTGGCTAGAAGCAGCATAGTGTGGGGTCTGGAGCCAGCCAGATGTGGTAGGCCCTATGCTTCAGGACTTGCTAACTCACCTGTCTGGGTATCATAGCACTAGGCAGTAATTCCAGAGCTGAGTGGATTAAGTCTCCCTGGCTTAGATTCAAGAGGGAGCGTAAGCTGGACATTCAGAGGGAATGTGTAAAGCATGGTGATACTTTCTAGCAAAAATTTCCCCTTTTCTCCCTCTCACTTCTTTCCTCCCCACCCATGGAAAAAGAAGGAAAAAACAAAACGCCTGTTACAAACATGTATAGCCAAGCAAAACAGGTTCTTACATTGGCCATGTCCAAAAAAATGTCTCATTTTATACTGTGAGTCCATCACCTCTGTCATGAGGTGTCGTATGTTTCATCATGAGTCCTCTGCAATTGTGATTAGTCATTGTGTTGATCAGAGTTTTAAATCTTTCAAAGTTATCTCTTTACGATGTTGTTACTGTATATTGTTCTCCTAGTTCTGATCATTTCATTCAGTATTAGTTCATACAAATCTTCCAAGGTTTTTCTGAAACCATCCCTTTCATCATTTCCATCACATTTATGTGTTATAACTTGTTCAGCAGTTCCTCCTTATTTGGTACCACAAAAAAAGCTGTTATAAATGTTTTAGTACATATAGGTATTTTTCCTCTTTCTTTGATCTTTTTGGAATATAGGTCTAGTAGAGTGGTATTGCTGGGTCAGTTTGCATAGTTAAGTAGCTTTTTGGGCACAGTTCCAAATTGCTTTCCAGAATTGCTGGTCCAGTTTACAATGCTACTAACAGTGTATTAATGTACCTATTTTTCCATAGCTCCTCCAGCATTTGCCATTTATTTGTCCATTTTGTCAGTCTAATAGGTGTGTAAGATGGTTATCTCAGAATTGTTAGAGCAGTTTTTCATATGACTACTGATAGCTTGAATTTCTTCCACTGAAAACTGCCTTTTCATATCCTTTTCACTATTTATTAATTGGGAGAATGGCTCTTATTTTTGTACATTTGAACTAGTCTCATGCACACACACACACACACACACACACACACACACATCTCAGAAGCATGATGACAATTTCAAAAAAAGGTCATATGAATGTATTACTTTTTAATACCATTTTCTAAAAATTAGCCATTTTCATGATAATGCCTTCAAGTTAAAAATATAAATTAGATCTCTATATACAGTTTTTGTGGGTATTAAAACAAAAACAAAAACAAAAAATAACCGTCCAAAATTTGAAATAAAAAAATTTTTTTAGATGATTTTTATCTTTCCTGACTAGTAAGATAATCATTTTAAATTGGATTCAAATTGTGAAGGAAGGTAGATGATTCAGAACATAAAGCTCAGATAAATCTTATCACTGATCTCATGGAGTTTATTTTAGTAGGACTTGATAAGGCAACAAACCCAAATAATTATGATATACAACATTACATGATAAATTCATTGGAGAATTGCAAAACAATATGCTTTTTGAGGTCTGAGAACTCTATATCAAGTTGACGGTGAAGTTAGAGGAGCTTAACAAATTTGTATTGCAATACATAATGTATTAAAACTTTATTTTTAAGTTCAGATTACTGTCTTAATGCTAACAGCTCACATTTATGTGACATTTTTATGTTTTGCAAAGTGATTTCCTCAAATCAACCCTGTCAGGTAGTGCAGACATTTTTAATCCACCATTTTAAACTGAGGTTTTGAGAAGTTAAGTGATTTATTTATGGCTTATAGCCTATAAGTATCTGAGGATGGATTTGAATTTAGTTTGACACCAAGCTCAGCATTTTTTCCAATTATATCATGCTACTTCTTCCCTTTTAGCCAAGATTGTGGGCTGTATTATGATTAAACTGATTGGTCACATTGTTTCTCTCTTCACCCCAAATCCCAAATAGTTTGTTTCAAAAAGGGGTAGAAAGCAAAATACCTCCTTCACTGTATCTTCACTTTTATCTTCCATTGTTGTCCTTAGAGACAGAACAGAGTCTTATTTCTGTCAAAAGCACTACCATCCTTCTAGTCACCCAGGTTATAAACTTTGGCTATCCTTGGTTTTCCTTGATTCCTCACTGTTATTCCACATATCCATTCAGTTGTCATATCTTGTCATTTCTACCTTTAAAACATCTAGGACATGTGTCCTCTTCTGTTTATATAGGTAGTCTCATCTGGTCCTCATCACCTCTTTATTGGACTAGTGCTATAGCCTATTAATTAGTCTCCCTCCTCTGCAACCTATCCCACACACAACTAGCAAATGACTTTCCTAGAGTCTAGGTTTGACCATGTCACTCATCTACTCAATAAACATCAATGACTCCCTATTACTTTTAGGATCATATATAAGCTCCTCTTTTTGGATTTTAAAACCTTTCACAACCTGGCTCTAGATTACCTTTCCATGTTTACTATATAATACTCCCCTTCACACACTCTGTGGTCTGGCCAAATTGACCTCTTTGCTGTTCCTCACACATTGCATTGCCTGTCTGCAGTGCTTGGAGTGCACCCTCACCTCACCTCACCTCACCTCTCCCTTTTAAAATCTTGTTAATCCTTAAAACCTTTCTCAAGTGATGCCTTCTCCATGCAGCTTTTCTTGATAACCTCCCACCCCCAAAAAATGAGCTTATGTTGATATTCTGTATGTACTTAACTTACTGACATGTTGTTTTCCGCACTAGGAAGTAATTTTTTTGAAGGCAGAGACTGTTCATTTTTGTTTTGGTATCCCAGTGCCTGTCACCTAGTAAGCACTTAATAGATATCTGTTGATAAATTGACATCATCCATTGACTTTTCTTTTTTCTTAGCCTCTGACCTCTTTTGCACTACCAGATGTGATGACATTTGAAAATAGTAGCCTTGAAGTACCATAGTCATACAGAAAAGTATGATACGAAAGTCTCATATCTCTCTCTCTCTCCCCCTCTTTCTTTCTCTTCCTCTCTCCTGGTCACATGCCTCCAGCACACTATTATGGGAAGAAGAAAAATAAAAGAATTGGGCGGCCACCTGGTGGGCATAGTAACTTAGAGTGCGTTATGAAGAAAACAAACAAGAGACGGAAGAGGAGGAAGAACTTCTTTGTTCATAAGAAGAAGCGCTCCTCAGCATCTGTGGATAACACACCAGCAGGCTCTCCCCAGGTATATGGAGGGAGCTTGGAGATGAGAGAACTGAAGCTTGTCTCTGCTTCTCTCACTTTGACAAACATTATTTCATGCCAGTTTCAAAAGGGAACAAATTCTGTAGACCTTGATAATTTGACTCTGACTATTGAGAAATGCTTTTTTGTTGCAAAAACCAATGTTTTTGATAAGTTGTGGGTCATGCCTTGTTTTTTCTGCTGTAGGGCAGTGGGTGTGAAGATGATGATGATCAGGATGAAGTAGATGAAGAGTCTCTAAGTGAAGATAGTGCCTCTGAACAGCAAGATGAGCTGCAGGAAGAATCAGAAGTGTCAGAAAAGAAATCATGCTCTTCTTCTCCTACCCAAAGTGAATTGTCTCATTCATTGGCTCAGGATCGAGACAAGAGAAAAAGAAAACTTCGCACTTTTTCTTTCTCTGATGAGAATAAACCTCCTTCACCAAAGGTACCTGTTTAACAATTTTTTTTCTCCTTTGCCCTAGGATTTTTGTGTGAATTGAACATTTGCAGAAATAAACATATCAGATAAGATTTTCCTCTTTTTCTATATGGACATGAATTTTGAGGAGTTCTCTTTAAAAATGCATTCACAGTGCAACAATTACTTGCCCAAAAATTTTTATGAGGATTGAATAATAGGATAGTAGTCCTAGAACACTGTGACTGCTGGGCTTCCATTAAAAAAAAAATATGTGTATGAAAGATGCTTCCTTGTTTGGCTTATTAGTGAATTAGAAAAAAGTTCTTTGAGTTTTTTATGATAGATACTTTTAGGTTTGTCCCAATTTTTAAAATCATTGACACTTTTGATTTTAATAAAGAAATTTTGTCAAAATATAGAAATAATATAGATTTGATATTATTTTTTTCAAAAGCCACTTCTGAAGTGCCTTGAAAATACAAACCACTGTTCTACCTTTTGGAAAGATTGACATAATTCTAACACGATTCCTAACCCTATCCTTATGGCTTTTAGTGGAAAAATGGCATCAAAACAAAATCTTTTACTTTTATATTTAAAGTCATTTCAAAATGATTCATATTAATAGAAGTGGTCAATCAACCAATAAGCATTTATTAAGCACTTACAGTTTTCCAGGCTTTAAGCTCGGTGCTAGAGCTCCAAAAACAAATGGAAAAAATTATATCTGCTTCAAAGAGCTTTCAGTCTAGTCAGATACAAATGTATTACATACAAAATGGATACAATGTAATTAGAGTCTTAAATGATCTCTTGATTTTTAATTTAAAGTTTTTCTTTTGTTGGAAATACTATTTGTCTCATTTGGGTACACCACTCCAAGGAGGGTTTAAAAAATTAAATGTGTTGCCTTTTTCTTTAAATGGTTCAAATATTTTTCTTAGTCCTTCAAAGAAATTAAATCTTCTCTTTATTTTCCATGATTATCATACTGAATAACACCACAAACATTTATTGAGTACCTACAGTGTCTAGGGCCCTCTGGTCATTTTCATGAGGAGTCTGCCCTAAACCCATTTTAAATATAGACTTCACTGCTTGGCATTGACAATAAAGGATGTAGACATTGTTTAAAGGTGATGGCCAGAATTTATGGTACTATAAAATTTGCTTTTATTTGGTGGAAATGAAGGAAATAAAGATTGAAGTTGCTGAAAAACTACAGCTGGACAGTAACCCACTGGAGTGGAGTGTGGCTGATGTTGTGCGGTTCATCAAATCTACAGACTGTGCTCCATTAGCAAGAATATTCCTGGATCAGGTACTATGGATGCTTTGCATTTTTGTTAACATATCTTACAAGGAAAAAGCTTTAGACATATTTAGTCACTTTTAACAATTCATCCACAAACCTTTAAAAACAAGCTTTTTTCAGATTTAAAAAAAATACAAGAGTTTCATATTAATTTTTCCAAGTTACAAAAGGGAGTAAGCATTTCTGTAGCACTTACTGTGTGCCAGGCACTGTGCTAAGTACTTTACAATTACTATTTGATTTTCATAACAACCCTAGGAAGTAGATGCTGTTACGATCCTCATTTTATAGATGAGGAAACTGAGGAAAGCAGAGATTAAGTGACTTGCCCAAGGTCATATAGCTAATAAGTGTCTGTGGCTGGATTTGAACTGAGGTCCTTCTGACTGTGGGCCTCACAGTCTATCCGCTGCACCTTCTTGTTGCCTTCAGGTATTGGAGATGATATAGCCTATTTCGTTGTTCGTTTGTCTTTTTTTTTAGCCAGTTTCTTTGATTGTTACAGCATGATGTTTGCTAAGCAGAAGGCAGTTTTGTGGTCCAGTGGATAGAGTGCTGGGCCTGGAGTCAAGAAAACTCATCTTCCTGAGTTCAAATCTAGCCTCAGACATTTACTAGCTGTATAATCCTGGGCAAGTCACTTAACCAGTTTGCCTCAGTTTCCTCAATTGTAAAATGATCTGGAGAAGGAAATGGCAAACCACTCCATTATCTTTGCCAGCAAAACCCCAGATGGGGTTACTAAGAGTCAGACATGATTGAAAGGATTGAACAAGAATATTTGCTAAATAGTTTTATTTTCCTAGCAGTGATGAATGCAAGTTCTAAAATTTGAGTTCTGTTTATTTTAAAGCAGTGTCTGTGAAGTGTATTCAGGGTATCCCGAAAACTTTAGTGCAGTTTTAGGTTTATTAATTTAAAATTTCACTAAGAGATTTGCGATTGTGTGCGTGCATACACATCCTTACATATGTATGTATGTATGTATGTATGTATGTATGTATGTATGTATGTATGTATGTATGTATGTATGTATAGACATACATGTGGCATATATGTATATGTGCACGTGTATGTATATGTATATGTTTTTAAATTTATTTATATTTGAGACCTTACGGTGTCCTTTAATCACTGGTAGTCAGTTTTAAGGAAAACTTTAAACAGCAAAAATAATTCCATTGTTCTTAACTATAAAAATGGAAGGATTTTGTTTTAATAATTTGGGAAGTTTAAAAAAGATTTGTATATCATCCCATAGAATATTTTTTTGATGAACAGATATCCTCAGTGTGTTTCATGAGTGTTTTGCTCACATTGTAGAACAAAAAAAATACTGAAGCTTAACACTCTTTTAGGTTTAGAGATGTGTATAATCAATTCCTTTTGGAGGGCTACCATTTATAACTTAACTTTATTGAATGCCTGAAAGCAAGAGAGAAGTCAGTCTGGAGACAATTACTGATGAATCTACAATGTTACTAGATTCTGAATATTTGTTAGTAATAAGCACTATGAAAAAAATTTTTAGTAACCATTTTTTCTTAAAGGAGACAGAGGATAAGAAAAAAACTGCTCCCTTTGTTCAGTAAAGTTTGGAAAGGATAAGACTTAATGGACCAGCCAGTATAAATGGAGTTCATGATGAATGAACACTGCATACAATTAATAGAAAATTCTTCTTTTTATCCTTTGACAGGAAATTGATGGTCAGGCCTTACTACTTCTTACCCTTCCCACTGTTCAAGAGTGCATGGACTTGAAGTTGGGCCCTGCTATCAAGCTTTGCCATCATATAGAGAGGATCAAGTTTGCCTTTTATCAGCAATTTGCTAATTGAGAAGGATGGCCAAGGTGAACTGGACCTTTGAAGCACAAACGCAGCGAGCCATTGGTCCCTCTCTGAGATGGCGTGCTGACTTTGGTGACCTCCAGATGTCTGCTTGCTGTGATTTTGCACTTTCAGGGAAAGAAGACCACACACATGAAGTAAAACAATGCACACTAAGTGTCTACCCTGCCAATGGAATTGTGGTAGTCCTTTGTTCATCAGATTACATTTTTTTAAAAATAAAAGATTGCGGGAAAAGACAGAGACTCCTGTGAGGAGAATAAGTGTTTCACAGATTCAGGTGGTGTGGACTAAGAACTAAGAGTAATATCCTAGGCTGCTGGAATACGCTTTTTCTGTTGCTCCTTTTCTTTTTGGTCCTTCCCATGGTAGATTGATATGTTCTCTGCTTCCTTTTCTTGGGAAAAGAGAACATGACTGTAACTTAGCACTGATATAAGGCTATGCCTTAAGGAAGACAAGTGCTCCATTTTCAATATTCTTTTTAAACTTTTTAAAACTAAAAGCAGCTCATTGGGGAATGTTTTGTGGAACCAGGGCTTTATATATGTATAGTTCCATTTTAGCCCATTTAAAAAGCTTTTCCTGGTGATTTCTCTTTGTTATTAACTCTGTTGACAATTGTAGTTAACAGTTCTGGGTGGAATTTTTTTCCTGTGATGCTTGCTTTGCTGTCGCCATAACAATAAGGAATTATGTAAGATGAAAGTTGAAGGAAGACGTTTTAAAAAATTATAGTGAAAAAATTTGTGGGAGCTTACAACAGTTCCTGAAACTGACCTAAACCCAAAATTCTCATGAATATGAGATTTTTACAGAGATATCTTCCATATTTGACACTGGTCAGCTAGTTAAGTGGCACATCAGAGATTTGTTAGTAATTTAATTGAATTTAATTGAGCTTCTCAAGAGGATTTTATTATTCTTTTCTCCTACAGTGGCTACCCCATTCTGTCCTGTCTCCAGGTTCCTTTCTTCATCTAGCTAACATACATTTGACAAACAGGCAAGCCTCCCTTCACTTGTTCCCAGCCCTACCAAGTAGTCAGTACTTCTACTGAAGCCAAGTAGTTAAAACATTAGTTTTTTCAGGAACCTAGAGTACAAGTTGAAAATCCTCATTCTGTGGAGGTGACTTAAAAATCCTAAAAGAAGTTGAAAGATCACAGAATTGTTGGACCTCTGAACATTTCTGCATTCTGATTTAACTGCAGAGGAATCTCAAGATAGGATGTCATCCACATTTAGGTGATCCTGATGGAACAAATCTATAGCTCTTTTAAAATCTACACCATCTTTTATGGCCCTGCTTTTTTAAGTTAATTGAAAATTAACTTAATTGAAAATTTTTAAATAAATTGAAAATTCAAGTGAATTTGCTTTCACAGTTATGCTGTTGGGAAGCTTCAGCAGAACTGTCCAGCTGAGCTCTCTTGATTTCATTGTGGATGGAGAAAAAAGAAGCATATGCTCACGTCCTGTAAATTATGAGTTTTGATGAAAATTGGGGTTTTTTTTATGAAAATCTTTCTGGACTGTCCCCAGTCACCAACATATTATATTCAGACCATCCATCTTCTTCATATTCTACTTTAGATATCCCCACACCTACTAACTTATTGATTAGGAATTCTTATTGTGGGTATAGATAACAGAGCTTATACGGTCTGGATCTTCTGTACATTAAATATTGAGTGAACTCTCTTAAATTAGATTCTATAGCCAAATGACAATAAGCACCAGTTATTACAGTGCATTTTGAAGAGGCATTCAAAAAGTTATGTCTAGTAAATAAGGCATCCGTTTATTTTTTTCAACATTCAGTAGCTTCTAGACAGTTCTCTTATTACTTGGATACTTAAGTGGACCAGTGATTTCATCAAGGTAAGTGCTCCTTTTGGTAATGCGGGTCACAATCCATCCATGTCCTTGGATCTTTTGGAACTCTTTGTCCTTGTCCTTCCCATAAATTTTCTACAGAGGGTCCATTCAGAGTGCTGGGAACTTCTCTTTTTCTCCTGATACTGCACCTATATCAGTGGGGGCTGACTATCATTATACCTTGCGCTGGACATCATTTCTCTAGGTAAACATCTTGCTGATGACATCCTTTATGCTGCCTTTTTTGTGTAATTTTTGGTTGGTGATGAATACTTTGCAGCTTACCCATCACTGTCCTGACCTTCTTACTTACCCTTTGGGTCACCCTCTCTTCAGGACCTGTGGAACTTCATCACTAGGACTCATTCAGCCTCACTGGAAGCATTCTATTGGGCAAGGAAGGATAATAAGTTCCCTGAAAGTATTCAACTATTTCCTAAAGGCAATCCAACTTACTGTCTTCCTCTTTGATTCTGGCCCTAGCCTATTATCTGTGCACAATATTATTTGTCCAACGTGTGTGCTAATGATGAGGCAGCACTATAGATTGGTTGCATCCAAGTGCATATCATGCTCTAGAGAGTAGACATTCTTCATCTATTTAGTTTTTCTAGTGTGGATAACTAACCATATATGTGTTTCACTGGGACAGATTTGTAGAACCTTGGGTCACCTCCACAACAAGGCATCAAAGTAACACTTTGTAGAGGTCTCTCATATAAAAAAGTTTTCATATAAGTAAACTATAGCATAATGAGTAGAGATAATTGGATATTTCAATATAAAGATTGGTCTAGTGAAGGAGTAGGGGGAAATGTGTGGTATTGGGCATTAACTAGAGAGATCACTTTTTGGTATCCTCATTAATAAAATTTTCTTCTGATCCTAACTACCCAGTAGTGGAATCAATTCAATTGGTAATATTTGGGAAGGTTAAGGAAAATTCCTCTCACCCCCAAATAGTATTGGAATTCTGCAAGTAGAGTTTGGACCCTCAAGTATTTCCCATCTTAATTAGGAAAATTAAACATACCTTACATGTGGAAGTCCACTAAATACAACAATTGAAATGTTACTTTCCCCCCAAATCTATTTTTACTTCTGAAAGAACCATATAATTCTGGAGCTTAAAAAGGGAGCCTTAGGGATGAATGTAGTACAACTCTCCAATTTTATGTTTGGGGAAAAATTGAAGCCCCGAGAATGTGGTGACTGTACAAAATTAAACAAGCTGGTCATTAATAAATATAACCTGAAAGAGGGCCTGGGTTTTTTGATTTCTCAATGTAAGGCTCCTTTCACTGTATCATATTTCCCTCCTCTACCCACTTCCACAATATTTTAATATGCTTTCAATACTTGGAATATACAAGCTAAGTAAAATCTCAGGGCCATTTTCTTGGAAGGAGACCATAACTTAAGACTAAAGCATTCATGCCTGTTAATTTTCTACCAAACATCTGTTGTATCACTCCCTCAAATAGAATTCTTTCAGCAACTGAGTTAAAGATGCAGAGTTAAACTCAAGAAAAAAACTAATTGGAAATCCTACGTGGAAGCAGTAGTTTGGGAATGTTTGGGGTGTCACTGTGTCCTTTAAAATATACATTTCATATTAGCATTAGTGTAAGTAATTAAAGTAGTAACCTCATCTCGTTTTGTGGGAAGGTTAGAAGACTACGATGATGTGAGCCCGGAGGATCAACCCAACGTTAATATTTTGTATCCATTCTCTTCTGTCTCTTGGTGTTTCTTCCTCCAATCACACCGGTTCCACACTGGTGATTCTTATTGAGGTCTTTTCATAGATACTCTGTAGAGGAGTCACCCAGCCTGAGGGAGGTCTTCTTTTGGTTCTTTTACTGTCTCAGGGTTACTAATGTAATTCTTAGGCTGTTCATCTGTTGTTTTGCTGGACAGCTGATCCACCTCCTTTTCTGGCCTGCAAAATGCCTTTGGGATCCCCACTTCTTGTGGGCATGTCATCATAGTGAACATGCAATAGTTTATTTACACTCATTTATACCCATAATTCATGTTTCTGTTGCTCTTCGGGTTACCTGCAACTTAGCTTCATTCAAGATCATGCTGTTCCATTGTTTGCATCCTGGCAATTTGGGATTGTTGAAAGTACTACAGGATTTTCCAGATTTGATTCAACCTAATCTCCATTCTCAGCCTAGCTCATCATTCATTCGCAGCAACTATGCCCAGGATATATATGAATGAGTTGCAAGTAACTACATATCACAGCCTGGGAAATACAAAATTTTTCATCTATTTTATTTTTATACTATATAATATTAGATCTATCTCTTTTACATTGCTGTGATCTGAGGAGGTAGTGTTTTTTGTTTTGTTGTTTTTGTTTTTTAATGTGTTAGAACTTGATATTCACAGTATTATCTGTGAATAGAAGCATTTGTAAAACCTCACTGTGTTTGGATTCCATATAGGGTAATTTTCATTATACCAGAGAACACTTTGGGTGACCGTATGAGTCCCTTTTTTATACCTTACTTGATCAATCAATCAGTAAGCGTTTATTAAACACCTACTATGTGCCAGGCAATATGTCAGACACTAGGGATCCTTGATTTTAGTGCTCAGCAGATTGCTGAAGAAAGATACCTTTAATATTGATGTTAGTCTCCTATATTTCTAATGTACATGTGGAAGATAGCCTTCTTAGAAGCTTTCAAGGATATAGTTTTTTCTGCTGAGTCAAATCCTTTTTTTTTTTAAATAAACAGTAGATATGATCTTGCTGTAGTAAGATTCTTGCTGTAGTAAGACCTGTTTGTTCCTTTTTCATGTTTTCATTGATGATACCTTTGATGATTATGCGGGCCATTCTCCTAAAGATGTTGCAGAACTTAGAAAATGGGTATTTCGGTTAACAATTATTGAAATCTTCTCAGTCACACCATCTGTGGTCTTTTCTATTCTTTCAGAATCTTTTCCTCTTTGAAATAGCTTGAAAATGGACCCCAGAGTGCCTTGACAATGACCACCTTGAGCACAGATTTCTTATATGCATTTTGTCAGATCAGCCATTCTTCCCAAATTCATTTTAAGTGCTATCACCATATCTTTATGTAGTATATTGGGTACTGAAATGGCCAAATACATGGGTGGTAATTAAATTCATACAACTAATTAAGGAAACTAGTATGATAAAGATGCTCATCAGTGTATTCCATTTCATGTCTACTGTCATCCCCACCCACAGTCCAGTTTTGTCTGCAAATGTTCTCAGGATGACCGAGCTCTGCTTGGTCTCATATCATATTCTGAGCCAAATCATTTTTACCCACAATTGCTTTTGTGTTATTTTGTAAAATGATAATGTTTTTAATCTTCCATCATCCTTTTTAGCAAATAAGCTTATACACTAAACCAGTGGTGTCCTTGGCTGCCATTTCTCTACCCTTGGCAAGAAGATTAAGTGTTTGCTGCTGGGGCATTTTTTGGGGTCTTTTGGCCTATTCACTCTAGTGACTGCTTTGCATCATTTAAATTTCTCTTAAAAATCATGACAATACCTTTTTTAGTTAGTTTATTTCTCATTTTTTGAAATTAGTAACTTATTTCAACAGATCAGGTTGCAAGTCATCCATAGGCTTGCTTTTAATCTGATATTTACATTGTTAGATTTAGTTAAGGAAACAGAGACCCAGAGAAGTTAAGAGACCTGCTCACTTACTAGGGATGAAGTGATGGAATGAGGACTTGAATGCAGGCTTCTCTGCCTCTCACATTCTCTTCACACCACCATATTGCTGCTGTTAAAACTGTCTATCTCTTTTCTTTTTTGGCCTTTGCTTTAACAAGCTGAGATGGCTGTTGGATCAGCAATTAGTATTTTCCATAATAAAAGTATTAAAATGTAGTCATTTTCATTTTTCACATTCAGGTTAAGTGCTTACGATATCCAGAATCTTCTGAGTGTCTTAGAGTCACATGGCTTCTGAGGAGCCTGCAGTCCTTTAAATTCTTTGATTTCTTGATATCAAACTATATTTACCAACATGATTTTTGCTTTCTCCTGTACCTATTTTCATATTGAAGTCACCACGAATAGGGATATATGTTGAGTTAATTTTGCAATTTTTGTTAGGTTCATCAAAGAATTTTTCTTTTTCATCCTCTGCAATGTAGGATACTGTGTAAACTTCAGTTATTTTCCTGGTCTGTTTGCTTACATTCATCACAAGGACTGCAAGGCAAGATAACCAATGTTGTTGCCTTTGGAAAAACTATGAAACCAACTCTGCCAACTCCTTTATTCATCTTGCTGAGGAAAATATGCAAGTTGTCCTTCCATTTATTTAGCTGTAGCTTCTTTGTCTTCTGATTTCATTTATAACAAAAATGCCAGTATGTACATGGTTAACTTCCTTTGGTAGTATCCAGCTTGTTGGTAGTTTTACAGAGATGAGTACCAGCTGTTAAATTAATGTTTGTAGACAGTCTGGAGCCATGTGATTCTTAGCATTCCTTGCCACCTTTCCCACTTATCCACCCCTGTTTAGGAGAAAGTAACGATCAACTTTGAATTTTCAAAAAGGATGATTCTTCTTGATTGCATAAAATATTTCTGTGCTAAATATTGACATGTGTGCTCTTCATTTCTTGGGAAAAATTATCTGGTTGCTGTATTCAGAAAGAGTTCATTGTAGAATAGTTATATTTGCCTAGATTTCATTTCCAGGTGGTACTCTTGTTCACTCTAGTCCAACAGGGCAAGTCTTCCATAACTGTGTGCTCATCATGCATTGACAACTTTAGAAATGTATTAATGTGCTGTAGTTTTCCTCTAGGTCCCTGAAAATTTAACAGGGTGATTAATAACTTGTTTCAACTTGGTCATGGTATTAGGTAAATCATTTAAGTTACATATGCTGTGGGTTCTGGGGAATTGGGGTTAGGGCTTTAGGCAGTTGAGCTATCTAATCAAACTGCAGTGGGACTCTAGCTTTCATATTATCCTTGCTTATTTTGCAGTATAGTTAACTCTTGCATATGTTCCATAGTATATTCTGAGGATAGGGCACATTATACCCACTAACCTTCTGGCAGAGACATAAATACTTAATTATTCCACAGGTAAAACCAGTAAGCCAGATCTCACACTTAGCTTTTTTGTGCCTCTTTTTCCAGGAATTAAAATTCAACTCACTGTGAGATAGGGAACATTGGACCATAGCTTCTTTAGAACTTTGACTTAACTTTCTATTTGGTACCAGTTCAGCAGGTGATCTGGGAGCTGAAATAGGCTCAGAGTGATGGGAATTGCTTTGTTGGGACCAGGTCTCAAAACCATCTCCCTAAAAGTAAGGTAAACATTTTGTTTGTTTGGTTGTTTTTCCTGGGGGATGTACAAAGAACATCAGGGAGTTTTAGGAGCATGTGGGTTTGTGACATAAATGGGATAAACTATTAGAGAGGCTTTTATTTATCTGGCATGTTCACCAAAGACTTTTCTTATGATTAAGATGTTGAGAGGTTTGAGTTATTCCTATTCTCATTAATGTTTTGAGAGAAAAGCCAGGAGCTAAGTCCGTGGCAGAAGCCAATACAGGACTTGGTCTTAGGCATGTGTTTGTAGGGAATGTTTGTTGTTTAGTTTTAGTTTTAAAAATTAATTCAACGCTTTTCTGTATTATCAGTAGGAGACTCATTGGCCTTATGAAGCTGATGAGAAGGGAATACCATCAGTCTTGGTGGGAATCAAGTACCCCTTCTATGAAGCTGAACTGGTTGGTTCTGGGTCATTACAGGATGTGGAGTGCTGCCTCAAAACCACTGTAGAAAGTAAGCCTACCATAAAGCCAAAAAAAATATTCAGTCCTTTTCATGCAAATATTACTTATTCTTGACTTTTTTCACTATTAAAAACACTTTACTAATGAACTTTTGTCAATCTCGCTCTTTGCAAGAGACTGTGAGTACTTTGGAAACTTGAATTTCTCCAGATAAGCCACATGTGGACTTGCATTTCCAGCTAAAGAGTTCTAAACTGTATGCTCAAAGTCCAATTGTATCCTATTCTAAGCCCACCTTTTTGGGTGCTCCCTTCAAAACTTTCCCCAAACCATACCAATAGCCTTGTTTTTGAAGGCAGCCTTAGGGGTAAAAGAGTAGAGGGTGGGTGTTGGATGCACTGAAGATTACAAGGTTCTTTATTGCAATGTTTGAAGAATCTTCTATTTTTACAACCAGCAAAACCAGGAATTGAAGTGGGAGAATGGAAAAGTAGGCCTTTAATTCCTATCCCATATTCCTTTTCTGGTTTAAGAGACACGATTCAGTCTGTCCCAGTGCTGTGACCTGTCACAAAGGACTGCTATTCAAAAGGAAATAAGCCAGAACCTTGTCAGATGGGTCTCCAACACCAGCACTGAGGCGCTGACCCTGAAGCCTCCATGGGAGGTAAGGGGTCTCACTTCAACCCACTTTGGAGGCAATAGGTGAAACTGGCATAGCACAATGCCCCCATCTGAAAGATGTTTTTGCACCAGGGTCATAGTGTTATCATATGGCTACCATATGCTAGGTTCACATGTAGGTACCTGCCCTACAACCTTAGCAGAATGAGAGTGGACAAGGCTAAGACACTTGAATTGAATGGAGTGGTGGTTTGAATTCTGGAACAGCCTAATATAAGAAGCAGCTGACTTTGGTAGGTTATGATACTCAGGCAAAAACAATAAGCTGGTTGTATTGTCAGTCACTTAGTTCCACTTTGCAAGAAACCTTTAAGGAAGGTATCTTGAGGTTTTGAGTTTTCTTCCCTCTTCTTTTTCTCCTTTTCTCCTTTTTAGTCAAATAACTCTATGTAGACAATCAGAGGTCTGCCAGGTAGGGACTCCTGGCTGGTACCAGCACCATGTTTAGGCCTCTTTCATATACTAACTCATTGGAACTGATGCACTTTGTTTCCTGTATTTTGCCTTTTTTATTAGCTGCTTGTTTGGAACAAAATGAAATGCATACTGTGTTGTGACCTTCCTGCTTGCTGTTTTTTCCTTAATTTCAAAAGTTATGCATCAAGGGTAAAATACTACTTAAGGAGAAATATGCACAAAACTAATATGCCTATTGAAAATAATGTCCATCATGTTTGGTAGGTGTAGTGACTTCAAAGGATTTTAAAAACTATTTTAGATGGGTATTTTGCTTGTTTCCTTGTAAATAAGAATGTAAATAAGTTTGTGGTATGACAGTTTTAAGTGATTGTAAAAAAAAAATTAAAAAAAACAACAACACAAACTGGTTTCATTTGTGCTGATTTGGATAGCAAGAAACACTGTGCTATCCAGATTAATCTTTTTCTTTTTTTCCTTTTCAATCTAGTAGGGTTTCTCAGAGTCGCTTGAGCAGGGCAGTAAACTTCTTGATACCACCAAGTGGGGCTACTTTTCAGGGTGCTCATGTTCACTATCAGATTCTTGCATTTCTGACCAATGGTACTTTTCTATTCTGGTCCTAATATTTTCTTAACCCAAGTGCTATAAGAGAAAGTAGAAGCCCAGCTTCTCAGCATAATTGAGCCCTGGAGGCATGAGCTGATCTCCAGTGGTATCTAAAGCAGCTCCTGGATACAAACCTACTTGGCCTGAGGAGTTGTGCTCTGCACTAGGCACTAGGCATCACTTTGTGAGATTTTCCTGCATGTTTCAGCCCTGGATCTTCAAATACCTTTTGGTCTAATAACATCTAACTGGACTTTCTACTGTCTTAATTTAAGGCCATTTCTTTCTGTGAAGTTTTCTGTGGATCAGGAGTATAATTAGTTAAGCCTTTGATACCCTATTAAAGTCCTTCACATAATCATTAACTTAGAACTGGAAAGGAACTTTAGATGTTATTTTATGAAAAAGGAAACTGATGTCCAGAGAATTTAAATGACTTGACAGCTTAAGGTCACAGAGATATAAGTGGAAGAGCCAAAATTCTAGTCTAGGTCCTCCAACTGCAAACCTGGCTCTCTATCCACTGTATTCTGTCTTAAAATCAATAATTAAATCAACTTCTTTTCTAAGATAAATAACTATTGCATGTTAATTTTTGTATTTGATCATTAATTATTTTATCATTTAACTGAAAGCAGATTACTGCTTTCACCAAATCTTTAAGATGTGATTTGATTTACATTCCTATCAACTAGTAAAGCTTATGAAGAGTAAATTTCATTTGTATACAATCATTCACTGTGCCTATTCTTGACATGGTATTTGTTATAGAACAAAGGTAGTCCTCATGCCTACTCAAAACTACAGTGTGTTCAATATATTGGATCCTCAGATTCAGCTAACATTCATCATGTGCCCACCACAAAGATAAATAATACTTCCTCATGCAGTAAGTATGCTCTGACTCCCTCTTCTAGAGCCAGGTTGGCCACATTTGCCTCTCAGGGTCTAGGGAGTAACCTTGAAGGATAGGGGGATATCTTCTTTATTGCTGTGGCTAGAGGGCTGCCAGCTGTGTTCTTCTATCTCTCAGATGCCGGTAACTAGGCCCCAGTTCCATTTAACTACTTAATATCAATTAAGTTTTTATAAAGGGACATTTATTTGAAGGAATAAGAACAATCATTTCCACATAATCCTTGGGAGCATAACTTCCTCTACACCATCTTAAATCTAGGTGGAAGTAAGTTCAGTTTAGCTTAATTAGCATTGGTCCCACCAACTCACATCCAAATGCAGTCTCTGTCGGATGAGTCCTTGTCACAGCTGAGAAACAGCAGGGTCATCAATGCTAAACTAACTGTAAAACCTGGACACAGGGAGTCCCAGGTGCTTAGTCTCCTGATCTTTCACAACTCACAGTCTCAGTGATTCCAAAACGTCTGGAACAAAGCAGAGGCTGAGGCTCATTTCTTGGGGCTATGAGGCCTCAATGGGAAGAAGGCACCAAGGTTTCTCCACTTTATAACAATGTCTATCACTGCATGTGAAGGAGTCGATGAAATCCACCCAGAATAAAACCAAAGAGAGTGAAGCTTTTTTAAAATGTTCCCACTTTTGCTTCTTCCTGAACATGTAGTTAGCATATTGGAATCATTTACATAATATCAACTCATACTCCATAGATTGTCCCAGGTACTTCCATTCTACCTGCTCTGGACTCTACCAGAAGCGGGCTACCCAGTCTCCATGTGAGGAGGCACCATGGAAGGCATTCTGCACACGTCCATGTCATTCCCCTGTTACACTTCAAGCACCTAGCTCAATTCCTACAAAGCATTGATTGGTCCCACCAAGTTTATATATCCAAAGGTGGCTTTGCTTCTAGATGAGTTCTAGTCTCAGCTACTGCTGGACTGGGGTCTGCAGACGTCACTCCTTAGTCTTCAAAACATTGATGCTAGGCTGACCACAACACCTATGCTGGAAGCTATGGAACACTGGGCGCCCTCTGGACTTTTCAAACTTTAAAAGTCAGGGAGATTTCACTTTTTCAGCCTAGAATAGAAAATAATGCAGAAGTCTGAGGACTGAGGCCTATTTCTCAGGGCCCACATGGTCTCAGAGGAGAGGAGGCTTTTAATCTTATCATATGATCCCTCACCAGGTACAGTGAGCAAAAGAGTCATCAAGATTCTCCAAAAAGATTGACTCAGTAGAGGTGTAGTGTCTGATGCTGACAAGCCCTTTTGAATGCCATCTAAGCCTGCTCCACAGTCTCCCCACCACACTTCGCTTACACATCATCAGTATTCTTCCTGAAGCAAGCAAGCTTGGTATCCCACCACATGGAAAGCTTGTTTCAGCCAAGTAAGCTGATGGGATCTACTCACGTGTCAGACACCTACGAAGTTCCTGGCTGGAAGAGATTTACAGGGCTGGTATGGCATAAGGACGATGGAAGGGGTAAGGAAGTCTGGTGCTAAGTGAAGGGGGTAGGGTAGGGAGAGTGATAGAGAACAGTTTGAAGGATTGGGTGCTATTTTGGCTAAAGACTTATTTGTTAGGCAAGAGGAAGGGGAAGAGGGTATGGTCAGAAGAGACCTTGGCGGTGGGGAAATCGACAAGTGCTGACTTGGTTTTCTTTTTTTACGGTTCTCAAGAGTGGGAGTGGAAACTTAGATTTGACCTCTGTAGCCTTACAAGAGCCTTTGAACTTTTAAAGCTGAAATGTTTTTCACACAGTTTATCTGAATAGAAATTATATTTAATGCTTAGCACAACGCCTTCCGACTTTAAAGTACACCACCCCCACTCCTCCCCCCTCAAAAAAAAGGCAGCGTCGAATTGATGCTTAGCTCACACTCTGGCCCCTGGTGCTTCTGCCCTTGGCATCCTGTATCCTGCAGCCTTGGGCTCCCTCACCTCACACCTGGCGGCGCCCACCCCGCACAGAGCTTGGGGCACCCCCAACCCGGCTCCAAGCCCCGCCCCGAAGCCCCGCCCCGAAGCCTCCCTCCCGCCGTTCGGAGGAGGCCGTGCCCCGCCCCCCCGGGCGCCATCGCGCCAATCAGGGGCCGGTGATCTCAGACGTCGGCGGTGACGCGCGGCACGCAGCGGAGCCGAGCCGAGTGGCCGGGCTGAGGTGGCCGGCTCCCGGGGCTCGGGGGCTCCGAGCTGGCGGCGGCTCGGGGAGCAGAAGCCGGGCCGGCTTGGGCCGGGGCGGGGCGCCCGTCCCTTCCTCCGGCCAGCCCCGCCATGCAGGGCCCCGCCGGCAACGCGAGCCGCGGGCTGACGGGTGGGCCGCCCCCCACGGCCTCGGCCGGGACTGGCGAGCGGGGCTGCGAGAACGGCGCCTTCATGGACAGCTTCGGCATCTTCCTGCAGGGGCTGCTCGGAGTCGTGGCCTTCAGCACCTTAATGCGTGAGTGACGGCGGGCGGGGCCGGGGACCCCGCGCCGCTGCCTCCCCTCCGCCGCCCGGGGCCCCCCGAGACGGGGGGGTCGAGGCTGCCACGCCCCTGGGGTGGCATTGCTGGAGACCCCGAGAACCTCTCATGAGACACGCTCCATCCCTCGCAGTGCGGGAGCCCCCAAACGGCGGTCAGAACCGACCCCACCCAGCTGCGGACCCCCGCATCCCTGAGGCTGCCCCCCATCCTTTCCGCGAGCCACCCAACCGGGACCCCCCTGCCACCCCTCCCCCGAATGCCTGCTGACCTCTGGCATCTTCCTCGCTTCCTCTGTATCCCCGAGGTCTGGATACTGGGGATCGTCCCTTGCATCCTCGTGCAACAACTTCTTTCCGTTGGGGTCTCTCATCAGGCTCTCCAGACCGCAGCAACCCGGACCTCTCTAGTCTCTCAGGATCAAGGGTCTAGGCACCCACTTTGGTGACACATTCCAGTCCTGCTCCGTCGTGGGCCTTTTACTCTATTCATTAACACTCTCCCACCCCCCGCACAAACAACCTCGCTTCCCGCCGCGATAATTATTCCCGGGATTGTGATAACTTTCTGTCTTTATGCCCGAGTGCCCATCCACTCTTTAGAGCTCCACCCCTTCTCCCTGTCTCTAACTTTCCTAACTAAATTTCAGGCCTTCCCACCTCCTTTCCCATTCTTACCTTGACTACTATTTTCCACCACCTTCCCCCATAGGCTGGAGGGCAAGTTGACGGCAGGGAACCCTTGAAATCGTGTTTCCTAAGTCATAGAGGAGCCTACCTTAAGAAAGCCAGGAGGAAAACAAGGGAAATAAGCAGATGTTCTTCCTGGAAAGCTGGAAACTTTGTTTAGTCATCACTTTTGCCTTTGGCAGGGAGGAGAGGAAGGAGGGGGGGTAGAGTTTTATTTTTGTTGTTCTTTCTTTTTGGTTGGTGTGTGGGAGTTTCCCCCCTTTTTTTTCATTAAAGGTACAGGAAGCCAGTGCTTCAGTAGATTGCATGGGGCGGGGGTGGGGGGGGTGAGTAGGGTTGTTAGGAGATCCTTCTTAGGGTGCACTTGTCAAATGTGAGGAAGCGTCATTCCTCCAAAATGACTTTACTGGTGGAATGGAATGCTGGCCAAGGTAGTAAGGGAGAATGAAAAAGTGGTAATCCATTTGAAGTGCTAGTCAGTGGAGCCACAGATTGTATTGTCACTACTCCCTAGCCATGTATTTCTTTTTTCCCCCTAACTTTGTAAGTTTTTATGGGGCGGGGATTATCTTAGTTTTCCTCATTATCCCTTCCCCTCCCAGATAGCCATCTCTCATAGCAAATAGTATTTTTAAAAACTAAAAAAAAAAACAGGAAAAAAATCAGGGCAACCATCATTGCATTGAATAAGTCCGAAAACACAGCAATTATGTAACACCTGTGGACTTTTCCCCTCCACCAAGAGGTGGGTTAGACTGAGGTGTTCTCTGATATTTATTCATTCAGTTCCGACTTGATCTTTATAATTTTGCTACATTCACTTTTGATTTTTTGGTATGTGGTTGTTCTTTCCATTTACATTGTAGTTACTATGCATGTTGTTTTCTTGGCTCTGCTTATTTCATTCTGCATCAGTTCATGTAGATCTCTCCACGCTTCTCCGAATTCGTCACACACTTTTTTTTTTTGGTGAGGCAATTGGGGTTAAGTGACTTGCCCAGGGTCGCACAGCTAGTAAGTGTTATGTGTCTGAGGCTGGATTTGAACTGAGGTCCTCCTCCTGGTTCCAGGGCCAGTGCTCTGTCCACTGCTCCACCTAGCTGCCTCACACACATTATTTATTATAGCACAGTAATAATACTCTGTTACATTCACGTACCACAGTTTAACTATTCCTCAATCGATGGGCATCTACTCTGTTTCCAATTCTTTTCTATCAAAAAAAGTGCTACTATAAACATATTGGTATTTTGGGGGGCTTTGTTAGGGTATTAGCCCAGTAATGAAATTTCTGGTTCAAAGGATAAAACATTTTAGTCACTTATTTTACTTAATTCCAAATTTCTTTCCATAATGGTCGCATTTTACAGCTCCACCAACAATGTATTCATGTGCTTATCATTTCACAACCCCTCCAACATTGACTATTGACATTTTTCATCATCTTTTCCAATTTTCAGGATATAGGCTGAAACCACCAGGTTGTTTTTAGTTGCATTTCTCTCAATATTAGTGATTTAGAGCATTCTGTCGGGTGATTGTGAATACTTTGCAATTCTTTTTTGGGGTACTATTTGTTTATATTCTTTGACCACTTATCTGTTGGGGAATGCTGAGCTAGTATTTCAGTGTTTAGTAAGGTCTTTGTTTCAGCAGCCTGGCTGCTGGAATTTTTGCTTTGCTTGTTTGTTAAATTGGACCCCAGAGGATCAGATCTGGGCTGACACTGGAGCTCATGAAGTCCAATCTCTCATCCAGTGCTGGGAGTTTCCAGTTCTTTGTCTTCAGGGTCCTAATCTAGGCTACTTTGTTCTTTTTTGCTAGACTTACAAAGGCTGGGCAACAAGTACCCTTCCTTGTGTGTTCATCACCTTCCTTTCCTTTCCACTTCTAACTTGCCTTATTGTTTTTCTTGCTGGGTAAATACCCACTTGTTTCCACAGTAGTGATTTGTGCTGATTTAGCCAAATGTGACTGACTGTACAGCATGGGCTACATATAGACTTCTTTAAGATTATATTCATGGAGGAATCTCCATGACACTCTTATCCTTGCCTCCACATTGACTGGCCATCAATTTCTATTTAAAGGAACTGGAGCCTTGATGTTTGGTTTGGTTTCTAACCTGATATTTTTTAGCCTGATCTTAGCTGTTTTGGTAAACTTCGCTGATACTGACAGTCCAAGAGTTTATTTCATGGAGTCTGGCATTTGTGTTACAGTGAAGGAAATGTAATTATGAATAGAGTGGCTTCCAGTTGAAAAGGATTGGGGAGAGGCAGACTTGGGTGGACCAGTGAGTTCTTAGGGATTTCAGCAAATTTTTATTAAGTGTACAAGGAACAGAGCTTTATGCTGGCCTTGATTTCAAGGAGCTCACAGATTAATTGATAATAACTTGAATTTAAGTAGCCCTTTATAGCTAGCATTTAAAAAACTTTTAAAAATGTTTTATAATCCTTTATGGCTTATAAAATGTTTTTCATTGTCTCATTGGATCCTAAGGTTAGAGTTGTGTTTCAAGTTGACAAGAAGTCCATATAGAAGAAATGGACAAGAAGATCCACTTCCTGTGTCTGTCCTTTGAGTTTTATCACAACATTCTGAGGAAAGTACTGAAGATATTATGTTCATTTTGCAGATGAGGAAAGCAAAGTACTGGGGGTTAAGTGACCTGCCAAAGGTTACACAGCTAGTAATTGGCAGTTTGGATTTGAACCCCAGTTTTCTGACTACAAATCTAGTACTTTTTATTCTAATATTGCCTTTTGTTCCCTTTTACACTCATTTGTCAGGCCTACTTGTGTCCCAAAGAGTAAACTTCAAAGGGACTCTTGGTTTGTTTTAGATTTGACTTCACCAAAACTGCTCATGTAAAGAGAACTTAGAAACACATGTTAAGGGTTTCAGAGGGTTAGAAGCAGGAACTTTGTCCAGTTCTGTGACCTTAAACAGTCATACAAACAACCAGAAAATTTGAACAACAGTCTACCAATCCAGAAGGAAGGAAAGCAGGCCAGAACAGTGGGGTGTACCTGGATCAGGCAAGGCAGAAAGAACACAAGATAGGGAGAGGTATACCTTCATGGGTACCTGAACCCAGACTTGAGGGCAGCCTTTCCAGTCCATATCATTGGGACCACAGACTTTTACCAGTCTCTATTGTAGTGAGAAAGTAGAGAATTCTTAGGCAACATTCTGAACCTTCCCTTCTACCCTGTCCTGAATTCTAGGACTTGTTTGGGGAAGTGAGGAGAATAGTGGGATGATTTTAGGAGGAGAAGGGATCTGATATATGTTAAGACACTGATATAAGTGCTAGGAATATAAAAATTTAAAAAATGGATACAGTCCCTCTCTTTAAGGATTCCTACCTTCCAGACACTCAGGTCTGGAATTTACCAGACCTACTGGAAGAGGTTTTTTAAAAAATAAATTTCCCTTTTTATTAGGAAATTAAACGTAACAAACACAAACATTTCAATATACAGAGAATAACAAAAATGAGATAGTATATGAAACTGATTTTCTAATATGTACAGTTTCCCCTTTTCCCACTACATACAGCTTGTTAATGTTTTTTGTATAATTCAAATTTAATGTGGCAGTTACACTGCTATCACCTTCTAAACTTGCTTTTGTGCTTTCTTTTTTAAAAGATTCCTTGAGGAGCAGGTAGGTGGCGAAGTGGGTACAGCACCAGCCCTGGAGTCAGGAGGACCTGAGTTCAAATCTAGCCTCAGACACTTAACACTTAGTAGCTGTGTGACCCTGGGCAAGTCACTTAACCCCAATTGCCAGACCAAAAAAGAACAACAAAAAGATTCATTGACACTCTTCTTCCTTTTTGTATTACTTTTTTATCCCTTTTTTGTATCTTTTTTATCCCTTCCTTTCCCTCCCTTTCCCTCTTCTCCTCCCCTGCCCTTCCTTTCCCTTCGTCCAGGTCCATGTGGGGTATCACACCCTTCTTCCCTGTGATGCTCTACCCAAAGGGAATGTAAATTTTTAATCTCTGAAATTTTTTCTTTCTCCTTTTCTCTTCAGGAACTGCCTTAATCCCAAATCACTTTGGCTCTCAATGATTGGCCAATAATAGGCCCCAGGCCCATCCCTACTTGGTCATTGTTTGGGCCTCCATTGGCTCAGAATGAATGTAAAGGGCAGTGTCACTGTGGTGGGGTTAGGGGTGGTTAGAAGTTGTAAGAAGACTGGAAAAGGTGGTGGGGGGGGAGCTTGGTTTTGAGGAGCCTTGAATGCCAATTGGAAGATTTTATATTTGATACTGGAGGTTATAAAGAACCACTGGAGTTTATTGAGTAGGGGTTAACTTGATCATCTGCGTTTTAGGAAAGAAGCTTGGTGACTGAATGGAGTATGGACTGGGGTTCAGGGAGACTTGTATTAAGCCAGATAACTGTCAGGCTATTTCACTAGTCCAGGACTAAGGTGATGAAGTTATGCATTAAGGTAGTGGCAGTATCTGAGGGAGAAGGGTGAGTATTTAAGATATGTTGCAGCATGTGGAAGAGGCTGGTGAAAGAGAATGAGGAGTTTAGGATTACACCCTCAACAAGGCTGAAGCTTGGAGAGGGGAGGAGAGGTTTTTTGGGGGAAAAATAATGAGCTCAGTTTTGGACATACTGAATTTAAGCTGTCTATAGGAGGTTATCAAGTTTGAGATGTCTAATAAGAAGTGAGAGATGGGAAGCTGCTGGAGGTCAGCAGAAGATTAGGACTGTATAAATAAACTCGGGAATCATCAGCTTAGAGATTTTAACTAAATCTATGGCTATAGATAGTTCATGTTTTCTTTGCAGAAAATGTTGGGAGGTGTCAGAAATAAAAGTATAAAATAATATCACAAAAAATGAAATTAATTCTATTTTAACAGAGAATGACTATTTGTTAATACAGGCATAATTTCCAAATGACTCTCTGTCGTACAGACCATTGACTTAGAGCAGAGATCACAATCAGTAACCAACTAAAATAAAGAATTTTGAAAAAGAGTAGATTTGGCTCTTAATTCAAGTACTTCTAATCTTGTTTAAACACTTCTGACCTGACCTGTTTAAACAAACTGTTTAATTGAAATTGATTAAAAGACTGTTACCATTTCCTAAGCAAATTCAACCAATGCAAATGAGTTGCCACAATAGGAAGACCAAAAGAACCCAGAA